TTATATGAGGAATGTTTCTTTGAGTCTAGAAAACACCTATAAGTGTTGATATGATCACACTCCTCGAATCCACTCGGTGACTTGGGTTAACTTACAGGACTGCACGCTTGCGTATAAGAAAAATTTCGCGTGGTGTCCGTACCACGAGCGTTTGTGTGCCTAACGGGTGTACATATTCGTGTTCAGGGAGCAAAATTACCCCTGGGAACAGATTTCTAGCCAAATGTAGGGTTTTGATCCAACTTTGAAAAAGTGAGGTAGTACGGGCGAGCAGGCTGAACAACCAGTGATTATTATAGGTGTTATCGATTGCTTGTCTTCGGACGGAATTCACTTTCTAGATGACAGGAAAACTGGAGCAGTAACAAGAATGAATGCGTCAGAAGATGGCAAGATGAGGCTTTGTGCAGGAGAATGTATCTGCAGCTGATTAGGCGTGAACATTGATCGAACTGCACACTATAGATGTAGCTATTCAAAGTCATGCCGGAAAATGCAGGATCTGGCTAAAAACCTTACCTAGGCATAGTTTGACCCGAAAACACGAATACACTCGCTTAGCGCGAAAACGCCTGCACCGTGCGCCACGGGTACCCCTTGCACCCAAAAATTCTCCTAGATCACAAGATGCCCAAGCACACTAATAAGCGACCGCAAACGTTTGTCAGGAAAGTGTGGGTGAGTACTGATGTAGTAGTGAGGCTACAATCACTTTTTGCCATGCTCCTACAAAAAGCGAAAACAAATTAAGCCAATGATCCGATCCCGTGATCTGTTGCTTGGTAGACACGGAGGAAAAAGTTCTGCAACTCAATCCAAACAGTCGTTCTGCAGATTTTGGGGGGGGGGGGCAAATTCGAAATCAGCCTAGTTCAAAACCACGCTCGGCGAACTATGTTTCAGTACAAATGGCCACTTCGACCTGGAGACCTTCCCTAGTTAGGTATCCTCACTGCTCACTCCCAATTCATTCGTCCAAGATTAAAAGCAGGTAAAAATTCTTTGGAACAATGGGCCCCAACTCGCGAAGCAGTGCTGAAAGCCGTTGTGGCGTTAGACGGGAATGATAGGATGTAATTGCAGTGACTGGAACTGTGAAGTTCGATCAGGGTACAGCATCGTGATGTGTGAAATAGTGGTGTCGGTACGACCCCCCCCCCTTGCCAACACCTACCTACCAACTTCCTCACATTTTCCAGTTTTTCAGCCAAAGATTTTACGTCGAGCGTGGAGGGGAGGGAGGAGGAGTGGTATATAGTACTTATGAAATAGCAAAAATCACGTGAAAAGTCAACGACCGGGAAAATCGGGAAAAAATTTCTCCCAACGCGACAAATTTCTCTCAAACCCACATACGACCCCCCCCCTTTTCCGAACGGCCAAGTACGACCCCCCCCCCCCACCTCATGTGTTTCATACAATGATGCTGTACCCTGTGCTTAGTCAACAACGTATGAGTCACTTAAGCTCGGTTGTTACATGAACGAGAAGGCCATGAGCGGGTTATGGGTGACATTTTGAACGCCTAAAAACTGGTCAGCTGAAAATGCTTCAAAAATTCGTTCGTTCGACGTACTCAAATCTGCCATGATTCTATTAACCTAAGTGTGCGTGATTTTGTGTACTGATAGGACTCATGGCTCATCCGCCAAAGGAGGTCCGTCTGATAGATTCTGTTTTTCAGCTAGTCACGCACTATGACAAGGACCCCCAGGTTCGACAATTCGTCGACCAAATGGAATGGTACATCGTTCCGCTCCTGAACCCGGATGGGTATGAGTATTCGCGGAGTAGCAGCGACCCTGAGATCCGTCTCTGGCGGAAGAATCGCAGTCCAGCGAGATGCATCCAACAGAGCACAGGTAGGACTTCAACCATCCAATGTTTCATATGTCATAAATTTTTTTAAAGTAACTACACTTCTGCTCCATTTCTTAAACAGCAAAAAATA